GAGCATCTTTAATCCCAGCACTGTTGGCAGTTTAACATTTCCTGTACCACAGGGCCAAGTGACTGCATTCTCTATGAAGAGGTAAGATTTATCTCCCATGTTGTGTATTCAGATTATCCATGTATATTTTTTAGAATGTTGGAATTGGTGTAAATAGCAGTATGAAATCCAAAAGTCAGAATTAAACTGTCATACACCTGCCCTTGCTGTAGAACACTCAGCCCTTGGACAAATGAACAGATCTGAGTACCCCTAGACTTCTCAGATTAGGCCATCCTGATCTCTAGCCGACACTAGGTAAATTCCAAGAACACTCAGTGAGAATATTATCTTCTGTTTCCATACTCCTCAAATGGATGTTTGTGATAGTCTGACAGCAGATGTTTGTGCAAATTTGTTTTAAGAAGATCATTAAAGAGATAGGTTACTGATATAATGGATTAATATTTGTGAATCTGGGTTCTGACTTGCAGAATTAATGACACATTACATAAATGAAAGCTTCATCTTCCTTTGAACAGCCAAGTTTTGAGGCTCCGATCTTAATTAAAAATCATTTTATGTTATTAGAAATCATAGCATCTTAGGTGTAAATGTATCTAAGCCTCTGTTCATTAAAAAAAATATCTTTCAGGTACAAGATTTTGTCCCCCTCCAACAAAAATATTATGGGATATATCATTACAAAAATGGCCATATACTGCAAGTGTTTTTTTTTTTCTTTCTCTAATAGTGACCTTCTAGAAATGAAGTACCTAAAACATCAAGTTTTTTGATGATTCAACCATATCCAGGTCCTGGAGGGTCTTTCATGTTAAAGAAAATGGATGGAATTAAGTATTGAAAATCTCAACTCATTCTAAATTAATCTCTATAATCATTAACCTCATTCACAAAATGGGAATCTTAAAATACCATGTCTCTTATTTTCTGTGCACTACACCCACCACACATTTACTTGTTACACACGATTTATAAACTTCAAAGTGCCATGTTAGCACAGTATCTGCTGTACATCATTGTCAAGCCTTCAGAGATCTAACACCTTCTGCCTCCCTTGTTTCCTTCCCACTGTTATTTGAAGTGAACTTATCTCACCTAATGTACTTAATTGTGCTATAGATATCAACAGCTCTTTTTCATGTCCTCAGATGCTTAGGTTTCTGATGATGAACAAAGGATTCCAGTGACAGACACACCCTGGGTGGTAGGAGCAGGAAATTTGGTTCCAGGCAGCATGCCCAGCTTCAGCAAGAAACCATGGGACAATAGGAGAAATAGTGCAGCTATGGCCAGAGTTCTGGAGTCCTGCCCAGTAACAATCATCTATAAGAAAATTTCTGATTGGCTTTTGATCTGAGAGCTATTTTCATCTGATGTTTGGTTTAGAGTTTACAAAGTAGCTTAGACCAATCACTTCTACCCACTTATCTCTTGCCCACCCCCTGGGTCCTTGCTGTGTAGGCTGGACTCGTAATTCTATGTGCATAATTTGAAAATACAAGCTACACATTCAGGCTTACCTTTGTGTTGCATCGGTCTTTTAGTTATTTTGTTCAAAATACAAGATATACTTGTCCAAAGATGCAGGGTCATTTTATAAGCACATTCATTTCAGCTAGATGTCTTTTCTGATGAGGAAAAAAAAAACTATAAACTACGTAGCTTTAAACTTATAGAATCATTATTACTGAAGGTTTTGCTGTCCTTCATGATGCACAATGAATCTGCTGACCCAGGGGTAGAGCATGTGCTATTATTTCTCAACTCATCTGTTGTACCTGACTCACTAGGGTGGAACCTACACATGGTCACTAAGGTCAGTAGATTACACAGATGGCTGTGCCAGTTTAGTTTTCAATTTTTCACCATGACCCACAAGAAGAAACACATTTTACTTAGCAATATAGGAAACACATACATTTCAAATTGATCCTTAACTCATTAACTCTCTCTCTCTCTCTCTCTCTCTCTCTCTCTCTCTCTCTCTCTCTCTCTCTCTCTCTGTACTCATTCCTGTGTATTTGCCAATTAACATATCAAAGGTCAACCTTGGGAGTTTCCCTCTATTACTCTTGGGGCTAATTTTTTGAGGCAAGCTCTCTCTTTGAATTTGGTCTCACCAGTTGTCTAGACTGGCTACCCTGGGATCCTGCTGTCTCTGCCTCCCAATGCTTGGATTGAAGATGCTTTCCATCACCCCCATCTTTTGCATGGACTTTGGGGATCCGAATCCAGGGCCTTACATGTGCACTACAAACATATTGGCCACTAAGCCATGGCCTCAGCCCCAACTTTAATACTTACTACATAGTTTTTGTCTCATTCTAAAATTTTCTTGCACAGAAACATACCCCAGACAGCAAACACATTATAATTTTCTTTTTGTCATGCATACCTCTATTTTGTTTGAAGCCAGACCTCTCATTTGCTGTTCATTGTTGTGGTTACCAGGCTTCCAGATTCCCTTGTTCCTGACTCCCATCTTGCTGTAGGAATACTGGTATTACAGACACATGTCGGTTTTTTCAGGCATTCTTGGGTAATTGACTCAAGTCCTCACATTTATAGCACAAATATTTTACCCAGTATGTCATCTCCTTAGCCCACAAACTATGTTTTCAATTCAAGAATTTCAGCATTTTGATGTCTAAATTGAGAAAGCATTCTGCTTGGCTTCTGACATTGATGGGCCTGAAAATGAGCCATTACATTTCTTTCAGGGCACAAGCCAAAACTTAAAAGCATAAATGAACCTATGGGAGTTTAATGTGCCTCATTTTCCAGATTTCATAGTTAAGATGTTGTTAATATAATGAAACTTTTTCTAATTATTAGAATTATACACCATTACATAGAACATTTAGAAAGACTTTTGAAATTTCAAAATACTTTAAATATTTCAATTATAATTGTAAATAAAAACATTCTAAAATTGTTTGATATACAAAATGTAATCTAAGAATCTGTTACATGAATTTTGCACTAAAGCTAACTTTTTTTTTTTTTTTAAGATGGGGGGTAGGGAGACAGCTCAAGAGGTAGAGTGTTTGGTATGCAACTGCAAGAACATGAGTTTGGTCTGATCTCCAGAACTTAGGTAAAGACAGATGGGGGTGAGAGTTGGGGAATAATTTTATAATTCTAGTGTTCCTATGGAAAAATGGGAGGTGGAGACAGAAGAATCCCCAGACTTGTTCAAGCCCACTATGTATCTAGTGAAATTGTGAACAAGGGACTATGTCTTAAACAGATAAAAAGAGCAAACACAACACCTGTGACAGACTCCACACATACACCATGGCAAGTGTTTCTGCTCCCTCACCTATGTACACTCACACCCACACACCTGTGCACCCCCGAATAAAAAACACAGAAATTATTTGTCTACATTCTTCCAAATGTTCATTAAATTTTCTGAACACAAAATCTGTTGGCTTACTTGCTATAATAAGCCTAAGAGCATATATACATACATATATATATATATATATATGTATATATATATATATATATATATATATATATGCTAGAATTAAAATTCTCACAGAAAATCAGGTCATGAAGCTAACCAGGAAGCAGCAACTGCCCCCTACCATCACCAGGATTACTGTGTGTGTTGTGCATGTTTAGTAGAGATTGCAATCATGTAATTTAGTGGTTCAGGTGTAGTGCAGACTTTTGTGATTTACTCAAGAGCATGAATAATATCTTCCATATGAAACCAGAAAGATTTCTGCTACCTCACCTGGCAGAGCATTTTAAATACGTAGAAGTGTTCTTAGGATGGTTGTTGCCACACAGGGCAAACAACAGACCTTAAATAGTTAGTTGCTTCTATTGCTGTAGTTGAGTTTGAGAAGGATATCTAATGGGTGTGGAAACTATACTACTGGAACTACTGACAATATAATTTCTAGTGACACTAAAATACTTTTTACCTATTTAGATATATCTATTGATATAATTTCCTATAATAGTAAAAGATACAGGGAATGTGAATGCATTTTCAGAATCAAAATAATACATATCATTATGAAATCTATTTTAACCTTCACACTTAAAAAATCTCTATTTACCTTTTATTTCTCTAGTTGCATCTTTTTGAAATTATTTTTCATTAAAATTTTCAAACAATATATTTTGATCATATTCTTTCTTCTCTCATAACTCTTACCAGGTCTTTCTCACCTCCTTCCCTAACCAACTTCATGTTTTCTCCTCTGGCTCTCTCTCCGAAAAAAAGAAAAGAAAAACAAACATATTAAAAATAAAATAAAATAGAAAATACAAAACAAAACAAAACAAAATAAAAAAGTGCACAAAACAAAACAAAAGCCATGGCGTCTGTTTTGTGCTGGCCATCTACTTCGAGGCATGGAGCCTGCCTAGGAGTGTGGCTGATACACCTAGCTACACTCTATTGGAGAAAACTGATTTATTTCTTTCTCAGCAGGCATCATTTGCAAATGGCTTCTTAGGAGTTGTACTTTGTCTCCACGTCCCAGACTCAGTTTTGGATGGAATTTTGTCTGGTTTTTACCATTACAGGTCTGTGTATTCTGTTAGAGTTCCTGTCAGCTCATATGCAAATCAGTCTTGTTGTGTCTGGTAGACACTGTTTTCTTGAAATCATCCACCACCTCTCTCTCTCTCTCTCTCTCTCTCTCTCTCTCTCTCACACACACACACACACACACACACACACAAATTTTCTGCCTCCTCTTCTTCAGAGATCCCTGTGCCTTGTTGGGAGGGGTTTCATAAAGACATCCCATTTAAAATGCAGTGCTCCAAAGTTTCTCATTCTCTGCACATTGCCTAGTGGTATGTCTGTGTTAATTACTGTCTACTACAAGAACTCTCTCTTGTAAGGGTTGAGCAATGCTCTGATCTAATAGCACAACAATATATCATCAGGAATAATTTTATTACTATGTTCCTTCTTTACCAGAATAACAGTAGTAGGATTTCCTCTAGAGCCCATTACTTATCTAGTCTTAGGTCTTGGCCACAACATCAGTGTCAGGTATGGGTTCCGCCTCAATGGCAGGCCTTAAATCCATTAAATGCATGGTTGTTTACTTGTGTAATAGTGCCGCTATTGCACTAGTTTGTCTTGCAGTAGGTCACTGTAATAGGTCACAGGGTTTGAAGCTGGGTGATATTGATGATTACTTTTCTCCTCCAGTAGTGTGCACAGTATAATATAGATGCTAGTCAGTAAAAGTGAAGCTTCTAATTGGGCTTCAACTGGATTTATCCATGTTTGACGACATAAGAAAGTTGTATTTTCAATAATAGGACCTCACCATAAGATTATAGAGAGTAACCAATAGCTTTGACAATAGCCTGTGATATTTGGGGGATCTATGAGTCTCCTTTGGCCAACCACTCAACAAGATGTAACTCATTTCTGGAACTGGTGGTTTTACTTGGTGACATAGGTCTACTTTTATCTTAATTTAAAGGAAACAAAATTTTAATTGTTTACAAGAAGGGTAAGTCATATTAACATGTGTTTTACAAGAAAGAGTAGCAAAATCAGGAAATGTTTATTTGTATACATTAGCTATACAAATTGTGAAAATTCTATTATACAGATGGATGTATATGTTATCCATATTTGTATAGGTAAGTAATACCAATTAAATAATTTTATTAAAAGTACTGAGATAATTAACATGCATATAATAACACAGAGGTATATAAGGAACATTTATAGTGTTTAAAACATGTAACTTTTTTTTTAATCTCATCTGTATTTACCTTTTAAAGTAGAATATGACCTAGCACTATATTTCCATTCAGACTTGAAGGGTTACAAGACCTAGGGAAGCATAGGGTTTTGTTCTCGGTACTTTGGAAAACAAGCCACATGGGGAATTCTTCTGTTTTAGCTTGTGTTCTTCTACGACTACAACATGCAGAATGACTACAGGGGATGAAAAATTTTAAGATGAAACTTAAGCCATCTTAATTTTTTTCCTTTTAAACATGAAGCTAAATCTCAGAATACTCCCAAGTGACAAATTATTTGGTCTACTAAGGAATCCAGCTTCTGAACAGCTAAACACTTCAGACCACAAAGTTAATAGGTTACATTACGTCTTAACAACAAACGTTCTACCAACCTGCTGAATTAAACCTATAGTATCACAGTATCACAAGTAGAAAGAAATTTTATCTTCCCCTTAGTTTACATGCCACACAGATGTTTTAAATGTTAACAAAAATAAACAAAAATCCTGGAATATATATTATCAGAGAAGGAATGAAGGTAAGCGTCAAACAAAGTTCTGGTGAAGTTTAGTCTACTTCTTCCATGCGCAATGTGTCGTCATCTTCTTCCAGGGGTGGCATCTCTTCAGTTACAGCAGCAGTGGTATCATCCACAGTAGGATCATCTTCATCAATACCTAGACCAAGCTTGATCAT